CCCCAAAACCCCAAAACCCCAAAACCCCAAAACCCCTTGATGATAAATAAGAAAATAATAGCGAAAAATAGTAAGGTAGAAAGTAAGTAAATCAAGGATAGGAATATAAAATATATAAATAAGTTAGAGGATTAAATCATGGGTCAGTGTTACACAACTTGTTGCTAAACCTAAGACAAGAACGGCAATAACTCGTCTAAAACATGCCAACCTTACAAAGGCATGCCTAAGAAATACAATAGAAATTAGACAAGGACTATAGATATGGTAAAGGGCTCAACTTTTGCATTCACTAATGCTAAAGATGTTACAGCTGCTGCCAGTTTGCTACTTGGTTCTGATGCTCCCCCACAAACTGAATTTCAGGCTCACTTTGATACAGTCATCTCAGGATATTATCCCCACTTCAATCAATCTACGATTAAAATGCCTTAATCTATTCTTGAGGGATCTGATTAAGCTTATAAAGTGTCAACAATAATGCTTGATTCAGCTAATCTTTCTCAGATTAAAAGAGCAAGACTTAGCAAAAAGGGTTAAGAAGAATGTACTGAACGGAATAATTTTGATATGATAGAGGAGATCAAAAAGAGAAATAATAAGTATTTTATTAAGGACTATGGCAAGAATGACTACTCTCAATTTTTCTTTAATGAATCTGGCAGACCACCTAAAATCACTCTCCTTCATTAATAGAGGGAGTTTATAGAGGACTTAGCTCTCTCAAATTAAGAAAAAATAGCGAAAATTCAAACTAGACTTAATTATCTCACAAACCCTCAATAATCATTGATAATTGGTAACTAGGAGAAAAATATAGATTTTGGAGTAGATCTAAGCTAATATGAAAAGTTGGTAATTGAAGTTAAATATGCTTCATTTGAATAACCTCTTGGCAGAAAGCAAAAACCAATCGTAATCATTGGTCAGCCAATTATCTGTATCCCTGAATAAATTTAAAATATCCAAAATGGAGCTAAAATTTATAATAATATTTTGCCTATTGACTAGTCATACTACTCTGAAATATAAGGAGGCAGAAAAACTACATATGCTCAATAAATGGCTAAACCCAGACACATGAAAAGGAATTCTTAAGCCCCAGAAAACACATAGACGAAGGAGATCCTAAAATCTTAAAAGCCGGGCAATTAACAGTAAGACAACAATAAATCGATTGTAAAAAAGTCAGCAATTCTGAAAAATTTCTTGCAAAGTTTAAACCCAATAGAATACTTGAATGAAAATAACAATAAGGATGTAACACTGCAATATGATTAAAATTCTCAAATAAACAAGCTGCTTTTATCAAGCACCAATAAAAAACATAATAAGTTGAATGATAGTCAACTTTGTAAATAGGATAGTAAGGTATCTATATTAGAAGAGTCAAAATTTAAATAATCAAAAGATGAGTATTTATTTGAAACGAAGGCAACTTTTCTAGAGGAATAAAAGAAGAAAAGTCTCTTTGAAGGTAAGAAAAGGAAAAAAGCAGAATCAGAAAAAATGATAGTGCCTTTGTCAGAAGCATTCATTCTTTACTATGACAAAAACTTAAGCTCTAGAGATAACAAAGCTTTTTCTATTTAGTTGTAAATCAATACCAATGATAAGAATGGGATTCTTAATGTCGGTAAGAAATAAAATTTCCTTCTATATTAGTTCAGTAATGGATAAATATACGAAAAAGAGATAATTCTTGGCTCGTCAAATGACTCTTATTTGATTTCATCATAAGAATCAATAGGTAAGTCTAGCAGTAACCAATGCAAGTTGAGTATAAGAGTATAATACATCAAAGACGAGCAAGAGAAATTAGTAGAAGCCTTGGACTAACTCTGTTTAAGGCAAAACTAACTTGGTTAACATCTTTAGAAGGTAGATGAATTGATGCAGGAGGCTATTGATCGTCAAGCTAAGCGAATTCACAGAAACTAATAGCACATGTAGCCTCATTAAAAAAGCTAGTATTTGAACTATATAGATTCAGCATAAAATAAACCGTACTAATCACCAATGAATCAGTTAGAAAAATAGGGTTTTGAATATTCAACAGCTGCTAAGCCAATGTTAAAGCTATAGTAAATGAATTATGATACACCTCAGAGTAAACTCTAAACCACTACTACTCATAAAAGAACTCGAAGAGGCACTCGCAACATGTCACCCTCTACATACCAAAAATCTCTGCTTGCTTTTGAAGAATAGAGTTCTAAAGTTGGATCATCTTATCACGTAATTGGTGAAGAAGAATCTTCTGAATATCATAACTCTTAAAGAGCTAAATACTATCATGGTTAGATAAAATTCTTGCCAAACCAGAATCCATAAAACTCTAGAGAATCAAAGACTCTTGAAGATGATATTGTTAACACTTATAGCTGTTAGTAGTACCTTGATAATGACGACGATACTCTCAGATAAGTACATATGAGTAGATTGGATTAAATAAGTGATAGAGTCGATACTTTCCCTGACTAGGAATATAACACTGAAAGCAGGTAAACAGAAGAATGATAATTAGAATGTAAATAAAAATCAATAATTATCATCAAAGATGGACATGATACAGTTTTCTGAAGAAGTCCAAGGCAGATCAATCATAAATCAGTAGATCAAATGAATTGTTTGAGGATTTATCACTGTTCTTGGGTATCAATATACTCATGGAATTAGATATACCCTTTTAAAAGTATATGTTTAAATTTGGAATATATACATAATAAGAAACATTAAATTGATATTATCACGATCACTCAGGATTAATTTTAATCACGGGGTTTTGGGGTTTTGGGGTTTTGGGG